TTTGGGGAAAGCTTGTGGTAGAGTCAAACATGCGTTGGTGGTGAAATAAAGCGACACCCATGAGCCCCTTACTGGCATCTACATATAAAGAAGTCACAATGACCCACTTAGCATCATTGTGAATTCTGACCCACCTTTGTTGGCTGGACCACAGCCCTAAAAACAAAGTCTCTCCCTGACTTGCTGAGTGAGTGATAAGTTTCTCCATTGGTCATTTCAAAATGAATAGCTGCGAACAGTCCTCAGTTACATCCTCAGGGGACGTTTGCAGCGGTTCCACTCGATGACTAACCTGACCAGCCAGATGGTTTGTTACACAGAACCGTCTGAGAAGCAGTCACTGGAAACTGTTTGGAAATGGGCAGGCACTTTAAAAAACAATACTGGATGACCCATCTGTCAATCAAACTCTTACTGAAGCCAGTCAGAAGAAGAGCAAAAACAGTTTGATCAAAAAGAGCCTTCAGTGTCCTCCTTTGCGCTTCTGTCCAGTCCTGATAGAACAGACGCTATTGCAGCATCTACGCCAACTTCTTCAGAAGCCGCCATCGACGTTTAGAACGAACAGTCGCCTCTTTGTGTCGTCTCGCTGCAACTATCATTGTGAGTCATCAAAATACCAAATGGATAAGGCTAGAAAACAAAAAAAACACTTTGCACCTGACAAACATTCCACTTGGCCAGCCAGCGCAAAGCACAAGAAATAGACTTCTCTCTATCTGTATGCATGGACACGAATAACATTGCTTACTTCTGAAGATTTGTCTTTCGTCTGTGCATGTCTTTGTAGGATTTATTTGAAAGCTAACCAATTCACAGCTCACTCTTTTGAACAGATAAAGATTACGGAGAAATCGCTCCATCCAGCCAATCTCCCATCTAGCCTTGTCGCCTTTCTCGGCAAGGGAAATAAAGGCCAAGCACGCTGTTATCAGCGAGGGGGGTGGGTGGAGGCGGGGAGGTGAATTGGACTGGGAATTAGACCTAGAGTTGTTCAACATTGGCCCCAGCTCAGCACACAGGTTGTCATTAAAAGCCTTGTAATAGGCTAGATTAGTCTCCAGATATGGGCTAATCCTTAAAAGACTCTGCAATGGAAGAAGATGGTGGGAGTGGTGGTGTGAGGGCTTGGCCTGTTAATGCTCTCCTGAGAGTTTTCTACACCTTCAGGGGTGCTTCGGGGTTTGATGTGGTCTTTATCACACTTACAACCGAAGGTCTTTCTTATGCTTTAGATTGCATTTTCTTTATTTACACTGCTTCACCGGTACACTTATGTTTGATTATATAATAGGTCACGTATTGAAATAGTGTTGCTGTTTTTAAATTAGGTTTCCATTAAGTTTCACGGCAGTAGAAGGTGGTAAACTTGTTTTCAAATAATGTTTGGCATCATGCTGCTATTACCTTGAGAACCACAACTACTTTCACTCTTTTTCTGCAGCAGCATTTAAAATGGTAACATTTATCGTGTGTCTCCCGGGCCTCATGCTTTTTAACTGGCTTATGCGAAATACAATGGACAAAATGATGGGAGAAGACATGTGAAAATGAATCAACAATTCCATTATTAATGGATTAATTGTTGCTATTCATTGGTTTATAATTTTATGAATTGGATTACTTTGGGTTGAATTGGAACTGTTGGCCTTTGGCTAAGAAGTTGTGGGCATTCATTACTTTTTCATGCATTTTACAGACTAAATGTCTAAAAAAACTAAAATCAATAGTTTGACAATGATGATACTTGTTAGTTAAAGACATTAAAATCACCAAAGCTAAATATTATCTTAAATGAGCAGCTATCCGCAGCTTTGTCCTCTTCATAACGTTTTTACATTCTTTATCAATTATGAAGTTCATGTAACAGTTACTTGGGAATTTCATTTGACTAGTAATAGTTATTCACACTGCGACCGACTCCAGCCTTTCACAGATAGTAAACTGTATGTACCATACCCTCTTATGTACTGCTATTTCCTAGCAATTCTTAGCGAGCACACAATTTCCTTTTTACACAGATTTTTGTGTAAAGTCTTAAAAAGCGTTAGGAGTTAGCAAACCCAAAATCAAATTCCACCAAACAAACATTGTTATAAATAAGAAAATCCTACATGCAGCCATTTTCACAGGAAATTAGAGTTACAGGGAATGACTTGTACAAGAAATAGGAAATCATCTGTTTATGGCTGAATGTGATGCTAAATGAAAACATTCCTTTCTGCGTTTCACCTCGTTTGAAGTGTTAATTTGATTTTGGCCGTCTGGCTCTTCGTAATTACCCGTCCAAAGAAAACCAGTCGCAGGCCTTGCCAGGCACCGTCTTCCCATTTAGGCTCCATTTGCATTGTTGCAACGTGGTATTTTTAGACTTGATGTGTAACGGGTGCTTTTGAAGAGGACTGAATGAAAAGCAGCGCCCATTTGAAGATGGAACTTCAGTCGGTGACATAAGCCTTGTGCCACTAATCTTCAAAGGCGGGTGTTTTTGAGTGTGTCACAGCAAGAACACGAGCTTTCCTTTCGTCTTTGTTTGGAAGTCGTAATTGTTTTTTAATTTGTGCTCTGCTTTGTTGAAAAGGCTGTGTAATGATAATTGCATTGCCTTTTTCTCCTCCACTTCGCTTTGATATATTTGTGTCCCTGGACTCATCAAGAGGTCTTTTATTTTTTTTTTTCTTGTAGTGTAATTTCATTAATGATTTCGCAATAAGATATGTAAGGCAGGTGAGGCAGCAGATCACCTGTAACGATACTCATGTGCTCACTGCTGTGAAATTCTCTCTCTCGCTCTCTCTGACACACGAGAGAGAGAGGCTACTTGGTATATGGGATAAAGTCATTTGAAACATCCCACATAGAACAAGTAGCAATACATCAAATATATTTGTTTTATCGGTAAATGTCGAGACATGTAAGATACAGAAGTATGATGCAAGCAGACTTTCTACCTCAAATTACTTATTATTTGCTAGATCAATACAGTTATCATATTATTAATACTTCATTTGATTGCTCAGTGATGATGACTGTAGAGAGGAAACGCAACATAGCAATTGTCAGTTCAGTCTCTCGGACTCTGCCCGTCTTCCTCTCAATGACTCCTTCGGGAGCCGTCGTGGCCTCTGACCTGGAATCCAGTGATGACCCTTCCGATCAATACATGGATCCACTTTGTTTTGCTTATTGAACCGAAAGGAAAAAGGCAAAGCACATGTGGCTGCAGTTCTTGAATATGTTCTCTAAAGTAATCTTTTGCATTGGTCAGCGTGAGGCCTGTCAAGGTAGTTATTCATCAAGGGTTAAAAACAGGGGGCGACACTGAGAGTGAGACTCTACTGTAAATCTATAGGACCCTCTTATTGCAGGTTGGCCTCCTGTGGACATGTGGAATGTCCAGGTGATTGGCTCTCAGCCACCCACCCCAAAGCCACATCGTGTCATTTCTTTTCGTTCTGGTTCCCTCTGTGAAGAAGACTCCCATGAAGTCTCATGGTCTCAGCAATAATTTAGAGAGATATTTCTTTCAATCTGTTGGCTGCAAATCCAATATTCCCATTTCCCTTGTCTCTGTTTTAATCTCTGCCAGCTCATTAGAAGGATATTTGGGTTTTACTGTAGATGTTACAGCGGATGTTTAACTTTCTTATAACTGTCTGTCTGATGTGAGACTCTATGTAGCATACAGCTTTTTCTTTTTCTTCCTCTTCTGGGAATGGGGGTTCATGGGAGCAGAATGTATAAAGAATGACTTAAAAGATGGTAGAAGCTCTGTAGCTCTGCAGAGTTGTGGGTTCATTACTACAAGCAACTCCTACTGAAAACTGGACTGAATGCATGCTAAGTTCATTCGTATCTGCTGGATGTGTATTAGGAAACTCTTTGCTGATACAGCGCTAATATGTTGTCTGTTATTCCACTGAGGCAGAGCAGTTGTGAGTTTGTGGTTGCATTACACAGTGTTCCTTGGGTTGTGTTCTCCACTTATTCCTCTTCTCTTATCTCCCCTTTCCCCTTAAATCTGCACCTTACTGTCTTTGAATTCTACAGAGATTGTTGCAGGCCGAGAAAGAATAGATCAAATTGGTATTTCCATTCTTAAGTGGAGGGCTGAATGCTTCATGGGTATTTATTTGTAGGCTTTGGGGTCATTTTATGAGCTCAGTTTTGTACAACAAGACTTCAATCATAGATGTGTCACTTTACGGAACCCCGGGCAATGAAAACCCTGGCTCTTGTAAATAAATAACATGCCCACAACATAGAGGGGGGAGCTTTGACCTGAGGGTGTTTGTTCAGATGAGATAAATAATATAGAACTTGTCAAACCACACAAAGCAGCCCACATTGGTTGTCATGAGGCAGAAATGCAAGCAAGGTTTTCCTCGGAAATACTCTGCAGATGAAGATGAGCATAGACAGCTATGACCCATTACAGTAGAAATGTGCAAATGCATTAAAAAAGTGCTGCCCTTATATCTGGGAAATTGTAATAGGCATCCATTTACCAAAAAACGGAAACAATCATTAGTTGAAGACCTACAGTACACTAAATCTTCTTTTGAACATTTGAAAATTACTGAAACTAAACACTGACTTTAAATATCAGCTATCAGCAGCTTGAACTCCATAAATCTGAGTCGGATGATTTCAACCTTTATGAACGTATTTTTCAAGGTGCTTGATTCCAGATGCAGAGCATATCTATGATTGAGGGATTGCCTCCACGTGACGCGTAAACAAAGCACAGAGAAGCTCTGATAACAAAAAACACAGAGGGAAAGCGACTTCGGTACTATATATCTTTAGAAAGCAAAATGCCATTTCCTTCTATATTGATGCGCTGACTTTCAAATTGAGCACCTTTAAATGGCAGTTATGTAACTGTTACGTCATCCCTAGAGTCTTCGAAATGTTAGTGTAATTTTGTTTTGGCCAATCGGAAATTAGGTAAGCAGAGAGTTGTGTCCTTAAAGTGCTTCTCCCATCTCCTGTTGCAGGATGGCCATCCAGGTTGACAAGTTTGACTTTGAGAGTCTGCCACAGCCGGACCAGGAGACGGCTCGCTTCACTAACCCCAAGCAGCTGGAGGAAGAGCGACAGCATGCCCAGGGCTCCCAGATCAACAGCAAGCTGGGCATCTGTTGGAGCATCATATCCTTCCAGTGTGGTAGAGTTATATCAGAGAAACCAGCCTGAGCTGAATATCACTAAAAACACAATAGATGTATATGGTGAAGGTTTACATTCCTTAGTCATACATTTCAATATGTGTCCAAACTTTAGCTCTGCCCTGTGTTTGTTGAATGTTGCTGTTCATTGACAGTCAGATCAACGATACGGGACATCTGGATCCTACATCTGGAGGCCCTCTGGCCAGCAGGGAACTTGTTTGCCTGCACTGACAGATGGCAAAGCGTATGGCGAAGTACTTGCCACTCTGACACTGTGAAGTGATGTTTTAGTGTGCGCATACTCGCATCAATATGTTACATTTTCCCATAGGTCCTTGTCTTTGGGCAAGCTTTGTGGTCCGACCAAGGTAATCTTTGACAACAGTGTCAGCAAGCTGCTCTCTGCCATCTGCTGTTCCTCAGGAAGACAACTCTTTCTATCGATTTCTTTATATACTGTCATGTACATTTTCACCATCAACACTCTTGCCTTCAGAATCAGTAAAGGTTGTAATGTAGATGGAAGCTGAGTTAGTATTTGTGTTCTAAAAAAGAAAAAGCCTTTGATTGCCATTTTTGGCTCATTCTAAACAAATGATAAGAGGTTGAACATAATTTGGGTAAAAAAGTTTTTTTATTATATATATATATTTTTTTATATATATATATTTTTAATTTTTACTTTTAACCACATATCACAGTCTTCATCAGCGAGTGAAGATTGCTCAAGTCCGTAACTCTAATTTGACCACCTGTGAGACCAAAATCAAATTTCCACCTATGTGGACGACAATGTGCTATTCGGTTAGTGACATCCAGTGTGTTGGTTGCCATCTGATTGAAGGCCGTGGCAGACTCGATGGTTTGAACACTAAAGACCCAGTTAGTCCCTGAGCTATCTGGATGTTCTGCCTCGGGAGCAGGGACTAGGTTCCAGAAACTATCGTCAGTAAAATCAAAACTTCAACAAGCATCCTGAAGTAGACATGCACATAATGTTAATAAGTTCCATAAAAATTTCCCGTGTTCCTGAAAAAAAAGTTTCTGCTAGTCATCGTGCGTGCTGTTCTCATCAGTTTGCAGTAGCCGGTGCACATATTTAGAGATTTAAGAACTGCCTGTCAGATTGTTGGGGAGCATGGTGTACAATTAATGATGAATCCAATCTCTGAGCTACTGAAGTTGCCATTATATTTTTCCTTTTTATGAAGGCGCAAACACCCCCATCATTACGGGCATTGTTTTATCTACAAGTAATTTGGCAGCGAGTAGGCAGGGATAAAGAAAGAAGATGACATACAAATATATTCCCAGCAGCGAGTCTGATAGCACTCCTTTAACTGTTGCATAAATCAGCCTGAAATGGCCCGTTTGATCATTTTACCCAGTTTAGAGCATATGTTATGAGTGCAATTTGTGAATTTAAACAAGTTTCCCTTGATGCTCAACAGCATATAGCTTCAGTCTATAGCAAGTACGTCAACAGACACAAACTGTAGCCGCTCAGTAGACAGTGAAACAGCTAATCGTTTAGGAAATGTGCAGCTCGAAAGAGGTTAAAAAAAGAGGTATGCTACACTTTGTCGTGGAAAATTTAGCCAAAAATGAAAAGTGTGTCATTTGAAGCCCCACATTAAAATTGGATGCAACATCCCAAACACAACTTATGTTGACTCACTTATTCATTTAGTGCAAATGGACCAACACCAGAACTATCGCATGATGTTATCAAGTTAAGTCTCGATGCTATCGCATCCGCGTGTGAGGATAGTGACTCATCTGTCTCACATCTTCGGAACAGCACAATGTAAATTCTGCTTCAGGGAGGATTTTCCCTTTACAACAAGAAACAAGAGAAATAAAAAAAGATGATTACACTGCGTGTCACACTCCGAAGCACTCGCTTGGCCCTGAGCAAAGTAAGAGTCACTATAATTTGTAATTTATGACTTCCCTGTATAATAATTCGTGTTTTGTTGATGGTGGTTCACTCATTGGACAAGGCTCTGCCATATACAGCACAGGCACTGAAAAAAATAGAAGAGATAATTGAGGGAATGTGTTAACAGTGTCTTTCCCTTGAGGAGGTCATTGCCAAGTTCATGAATCCTCTCTGGATGTACAGTGTAGAAGTCAAGTTTAAGCAGCATTAATATCCACATCACAGCTATGATTGTAACACCCTGTGAAGCTGTATTCGACTAGCTGTTATCTGGATGTATGTGCAGGCTAAGACAATACAGTCAGCCAGAAGCAGAAGCATGTTATAGTGCAGCTTGCTTTAACATTGCACCGATCACGTTAAAGGCATTGTTCTCAGCTGTAATCCTTAGGCAGCACCTAAGCACCTTGTATTTAATCGTTAGTTAGTGAATAAGTCTAAATTGTCTATGTGTACGCAGGAATTGGTGAATAAAGGGGGGAAAGCAGCAAATACATAAAGCTATTTATCAGCCCAAAGCAGAGACGCGTCAGTTCTCAAAGCAACACTTTGGAGACATTCCTAGTAGCTGTAGAGATGTTTTGAATTAATGTCGGCAATGACTTGTCCATTTTCTTTTGTCAGCAAGAAATATAAGTATTCTGGGCAAGGAACGTAAAAGTGCCAAACTCAAAGTGATTTATGACAAAACGTTCAGTGAGTTGACATACATGTTGATCATCCACACATTGTTTCTATGATTCCTCAGCTCTGTGGCAATTTAAGGGACTGGAATTGTTGCTCGTTGGCCACAACAATATTTGATGCAGTGTAGCCGAAAGTGTATTTCACCATTTATTGGAGTGCTTAATCTTAGAATAGAATCCTGTTACACACATCCACAGATAAATGGATCCAGGGATGCTTACCAAGTTTATTTTACAGTCTGCCCCATGAAATGTGCAGCATGTTGTTCACATGACCCATTACCCAACCCATGTTCTAATGCATCCGTTTAAAATCCCATATAAGACATAACAACTGTCATGCAAGATAGATATGTGAAGTAAACGTTTAGAGATGAAAATATACATTTAAACCAACAGTGTATGCGGTGAAGGGCTGAAAGACGTCAGGGTTCAGCTCAGTATCGGGGCAGTTCGGCAATGGAATGAAATCTTTTGGTCAGTGTGTACAGGAACCCGAATTGTATGTTTTTTCACGTGTTAGGTGTCAGGTCGAGTAACACGTGAAAATTAAACGCGTTGACGTGACGTTTTGTTGCCTAAACCAAACTGTTCGTGACAGTTTTCCAAAACCTAACTGAGTGGTTTTGTTGCCTAAACCCAAGTTTTGTTTTTAATGTAATGTAATGTCCCCAAAAAAAAGTTGTTTGAAGCGGCACGAAAAAGCTGATAATTCGTGTCCCGACATGAAACCAATGGATTTCATTTTGTGATTATTGCAGGGTTACCTTGCCTAGCCTGCTGCCACTGTGACCCAGACTGGATAAGTGCCAGAAGATGGATTGATAGATGAAAGAGGCCACTTTTGACCCCTTCATATAACTGTATTTATACTGTACTAGATAGATACAGATGTACAGATAGATTGATAGATGTTCCCTGTTCCTTATTTGGTTTAAAGAAACTTTTATCTACAATTTTCGTCACACATTACGTGGATGTGGGTTGTTTCCTTCATCTGTATTTAACGGAGTACATGGTTCTAAGAATTTTAAATTGTAGTACAGTTAAAAGAAACACCAATGCTAATGGTTCTTTGAGGGACTTACTTGGTCACAGTCGTGCTTTGAGCTGAATGCTAATATCGGCATGTCGTCAGGCTTATCAAATCATTAATTGTTGGTCCGATGATAGTGAATGTTGAAAGTCAGGACCACCAAAATCATTAGAATTGATCTTCTAGGGACCTTGAATATCCATGGGAAATTACACAGTAATCCATCGAGCAGGTGTCAAGACATTTCACTAGCCACTGTGTCGCCCTGATTGACGGTATGGTGTATATGAATTGTATGTGTTAGCATATCGATCTTATAAGAAATGCTCACATAATGCTAATATTTTAGCCATGCTATACAGGGCTACTCTGCAATCAAACAGTGGCTACTCTTGTGCGGCGTACACAAAATGAACATCCCCATATTATGTAACGTAGCCGTGTAGGAAGGTCCTGAGAGGATTGAAATGGAGCGTCGGATGCTCGTGCTACTGATCATTGGGCTTCTGTAATGCCCGGGCTGAATCGACGCTCGGTGCTCTTGTTCGGTTCCACCGAAACTTCAAAGCAGGAATTCCACATTTCCAAGGGATCAGAGTCACAACATTGCCATTGGTCACCATTGACCGCTCGTATAAGATATCGATGCCTTCACTCTCGCTCTCGCTCTCTATCTATCTCTCTCTCTCTCTCTCTCTCCCTCCCCCCCTCTCTTCTTCTCTCCATACTGTACTCTCCCTCAAAGGTTAATTAGACAGAGGTTTGGTGCCCCAGTCACTGCTCATCTCACCCATTATTCCAAATGCCAGCTGTGTCCTTATCATCACATATTATCTGGGTAATTGCTCTCTGACAGCCGTATTTGTTTTGATGCAGCATTCATGCATTGGTAGCATTATAATCAGGGTACATGCGCTACATGTACCTTTGACGTCTTAATAATGAATGCATTGCACAAATCTTGAAAGTAATTAATCATGATGTGTTGCCGTTTTATAATCGCATCATACGATATGATGGATTTTTTTATCAAGCTCCTAGTGTTGTAAGTAACTATGGTACATACATATGTATACAATACAGTTTTTTATGTTGATTAGTTCTTCAAATGCACAAAGGCTCTCCATCATGTTGTCCTTAACCTTACCCACCCGTCCCTGCGGCGCCGCGGAGAGGCCAGCGTGGAGGGAGTCCTCAACCAGCTGGTCCTGGAGCACCTACAGCTCGCTCCTTTGCAGTGGGGTGAGTCATATAAGTGTGTGTGTGTGTGTCTGTATGCGTGTGAGATTATGAGTTGTGGTCGCACACTTACACCACTCATCTCGATGGAAGGTTTGTGAACTTTGTGAAAGAGTTGTAATCTGTGAACTATCGTGTGTAGATGATATTTCATCAAAACACTGGTTCCATGTGTTTTGGGATACCAATCACAGTATCTGGATACATTACCTGTCAATTAGTGCATGCAGCTCCACAACTGGTCTCAAGCCATGTTTTTTATTTGCATTCATAATGGGCTACAGGCTATTCTGGGGAAGTGTAGACAGCATCTTGGGAAATGTTTGAATCACCGGGGATACATGAATTTGTCGGAGCGCTATTCGGTCGCACCATCTGTGATCATCCTCTGAAATCACTTTTGATTTACTGCCGGTGTTTGTTTCCTGAGATTCGCCGTCCCTCTTTGGGCACTGCCAGCATTTTGATTAGTCAGCTGGGGCTGTCCCGCTTCTGCAAAGAGAATGCAATCTGCAAAATGAAGCGACGCCACAGATCGAGCATGGGAATGTGAGCATCCGACAAGACCGAAATACTGGGGGAAAATGGCAAATACTTCACATTCAGATATTTTGGCATTTCACATAAATGTCTTTATTGAGGAACGCTGATGTGAGGATGAGTGAGATCACACTATTTGGACTGATATTCCAGTGCAGACAGTTGCAGTGGTTGCCGTTTCCTCACGTCTTCATTTCTGTAAAGGTGGTTTGTTTTGCAGCTTCAGTCCCGGCCTTTGCAGGTCTTGCCGATTACGAGGCAGCGAACTTGCCTCAGCCCACTAGGATGCCTTCATCAGGGGTGCCAAAGACTATCACATGCTCAATTACGTGTATGGTTCAAGCATTTCCCCCGTGTCTACAATCGTTAGTCCAGAGGATGCTTTTAATGCCGTAATGTCTCTGTGAGCCCCACACTTACAGAGATACTGTAGATGGAAAGATATCTTGTTAAATGTCAGTTATCGAGACTGTACTATTGTCGTCATTTTAACTGATTTCCCTTTACAGTTTGGACAGAAAATACTACTTTCTCACGGTTGAGTCAACCTTTTCTCCACCTCTTGCAGCTCAAACATTTGTACCTGTCTTCTATTAGAAATACGCTGTTTTAATCTTTTGCCGATCCAATATCCTCCACACACCTCATCTCTACACACTTTCCCTCCCGATAGATTATTTAAACCCCTCGATGAGGTGATAGATTCAATGTCAAAGAATCTTCAATTAAACACTTTAGTCTAAATCATTTCCAGTCATTAGCCCAAAGCCTTTTTACTGAACAGGTGCTGCGAGATCTACGCCGTTTCAGTCTCATCAATCAATTATTTTGAATCTGCCTTCGATGTTAAAAGCATTGACGCCGTCATGCCTACGTTATTTGCATCCTATGGAATATCGTAAACCTCTTTTTACCCTCCTTGAACATAAGACTTTAACGTCTTTGCAGAAAGTGATCTCTTTAACAAATGTAATTTCCTTCTCCATTAGAAACGACAAACAAATGTGGAAATCATAATAGGCTATTACACTGATGATGTGTAATGGCGGCATGAGATTTGAGCTATTTGGAAAATGTTTTGAGCATCATAATAATCTTGTAAACTGCATTAATTAAAACCTATACATTTCTTTAGCAAATGTGAATTGGGTCAGCTGTGCACTTTCAGGAGCAGAAGTCAACCAGGGGAGTCATTGCCCGGGACAGCGCCGTGGCATTTTTCCATCAGCAAGGATGAGGAGAATAATCTTTTGAGCAGTTGAGCAGCGGCTGTACAGTATGTTAACCTCAGCTACTCGACTATAAAAGGCGGCGTGGCACAAACATGCGTGCGGGTCTCCACGGAGATAAATTATTGACGGGGCTCTGTGCCGCCTCACTGTGTGTGTGTGTGTGTGTGTGTGTGTGTGTGTGTGTGTGTGTGTGTGTGTGTGTGTGTGTGTGTCTAAAATCACACATGGTTTGAGCATCTTATCCACAAGCAGTGGTACATGTGGTCATGATGCATCTGTATGAACGTGTTACCTACCGATGTTTAGAGTGGTTTTGTACACCGCACACGTCCGCTTGTGTGATTGGCTGTGTTGATGGTTCTATAACTAATCTCCACCGTCGACATCTGGCTGCCAAGTAGTAGATTTCTTAAGGACCAACGTTCTGTGGCTCTCCATCCGCTTTCCTGCTTTTCTACGTGCACTCTTTTAAGAAAACGTTGCTCTCAATCAGAGTACGTCGCGTTGTCCCCGACTTGTTTTCTAAGAAGCATAACGTGCAACTGAGACGACCCAAACGTTGGTCGAGTCAGGATGGGAACAGTTGTCGCTTGTCATCTCCTCTTCTATCCGGGTGGCCACAGATCACGTTTTTATGGATGTCAGTGGACAATCCTGCATACAATATAAAATGTGTATTTTCTTTCCAATTTTCAAAAGGGACCCTAGAACTTTATAGTGTCTTCCACTTGAATGACACCCTAAAATCTCATTACAGTTGCATCCGGATTGAGTGTAAGTGGTCGGCCAAAGATGTAAAAATCGTATTAAAATGTACCAAAAAAGGTAAAAATATGAGAAACAGAAATGGACAATCGTGAATGAATGTGTATCTAAAGGGGTTGAAAGGTTCACCCGGCCACTTTCAGTCTTGCACATAAATTTGAAATACACAAACTTAACACCTATATGTGTACCGTGAGTATTTATTTATAGACGCTGTCCCTCAGGCCACAGTTGTATAAGACAGACTTTGACATCATTGCTTGAGCTCAGCCCATTGTGTGCAATAAAAACCTATGAATATTTGATCACACGGGTTCCAGTAAATGGAGAACATGGAACTTGCCAGAATCATTTATATTGTGTTGTGTTTGTATAGAAGCTCATTCGTATTATTATTGAAAGGGGAGCAGACGGAGGCCATTAGTAGATGATTCTTCCTCTGGGCAGAATCAGCTTCGCTAATGTAACGTAAGATCATATATGGTGAAACTCGCCACATAATTACAAATGAATAATGCAAGTTTTTTTCTTTAATTAGTATCGCATTCTTTTGTTTCTGCTGAATGTCAATTTTGTGCTTCAGAGCATGGCTGTAATTCACTGAGCGAGCTACAATGTGAAGCAGATTACCTTTACGTTCATGTGGTGAGCTTTTTACAAAAGCTAAACAAACACAGATGAGAGGACTGCTTAACGTTTCTATGACCGCTTTCTACAATGTCTATATTGTGTTATAAACATACTTATAATGCAAAATAATCCCCTCATAAATATTCATACTTATTTATTACAATAATCTTAACCCATTGTGATGCATTTTCCAGTGATTTATAGGGTTATGTATCATATTGCTTCATAGTTGTTGGTCACTCACTGATATTTTTGGCTGGTGTTATTTTTCTCCTAGTTGTAATGCTTGTTTATGATTTATAAATATCACTGTTATAATGTAATTATTCTAAGTAGTCATCGGGTAGGTAATGAGATTCCTGAGGTATAAGCAGATTAACAGTAATACATTAACAGCTGGTTATAAGTCACTATAAGTGGTCATTAATGCCATTAAATCTGTGCTGTTATTGAGTGACCAGCAAGTAAGAAGCATTATGATACTTGACCTTATAAGTCATTATAGATGGCTTTATAATGTGTTATGATTATTGTTTTAAAGCATTATGAATATGTATGAGTGTGTATACAATGTAAGCAGATTATAACAAATGATAAGAATGTTTATAATGGATTATAGAAATGTACTGCCTATGTTTCCATCTTTACTTCACGCCGTCTGAAGAGCTTTTCTCCTCTAATGAGATAAGATATATAAGATGATCCTTTATTAGTCCCACAGTGGGGAAATGTACAGGATTACAGCAGCATAGTGGATAGTACTACACTAACGGTACTATAATACTATTCCTGCTTAAATGTGCGGACAGCTTGAACATTATTTTCTGCTTGTTTGTCTGATTTCACAGAATTGACCTTCAAAAAGCCTGCTGTTGTACGTTATATATGAACCGTGACTGCAATATACGAGGCAGATTTGCACCATAATCAATTTATTGCCCCAGGAAAGAAAATAGTGATAATGCCTGAAACCCTCTAATTGACATTATATACCTCTTTGCGAGTGTGAGTACGGATTCCAAAGGTTTTCCACCGAGCTTCTGTGCTTTTCATCGACATTTAATTTTCTGCTCCAACAGTAAATGTCTATCTGTCATTCTGTCACAGAGTCCGAAAAGGAAGTCCACTAAGCTGCATACGTTGGACCATGGATCTCTCAGCGCTGTGGAAAAGGGTAGACAGTTTTACAAACAGTCTAAATGTCAGCGCAGCAGCCTTCTAGATTCTCAACTATTGGTTTTATTCCGGAAGGTTGCTGGATGATTGCTTTAATTATCTCTGACAAAATTGTATTGCACTCCCAAAAGCTATAAGGGGTACTTGTCATCCTTAAAATTGGAGAACTCGGAGGAAAGCAGTTTGACGAGAGGCAGCGGGATGGAACACACTAAATTAGGATGTTGATATCAGGAAATATTGACAAAGCTCCTGACAAAGCATTGTGTCTAATACAGAAAACGGTAGACAAAATATTGTTTAAATAAGAAAGCAGGTTGACTGATTCAGTGCTCCCAAAGTGAACAAGATGCTCTTAGAAAGGGCTTATGATTACATTTCAATTTATGGCTTTAACAAACTGAAATTGCCACGACCAAACTTCATCAAAAGCATTTGGACTAAACTTACTCCATTTATAGACCATATTTCAAGTAATGGATGTTAAAAGCTCTCAGAAAATGAACAAACAAGACATATATCCAGATATTGATCGGTCTGCGCTTCAAATTAGAAACAATGAACTCTACTTGTCACAATCAAATCAGAGTTTCTATTGGCCCAATGCTAACATGAAGGGAGTTATGGACATAATATGCTTGTTTTATTGGTGCAAATGTT